CCAGACCGCAGGAGGGCGATGCAGCCACAGAGTCCGACCCCAAAGATGCGCTTCGTGAAGGCAGCCAATACGGTGCGGACAATGCTGCGGGCCGACAGGACTGCCAAAGTCGTGAATCCGGAAATCAGTCGGAAGGTGAAAGAGGCCGAGTCACAGGCTGTGGCTCAGTACTTAGAGTAAGTTGTTCTTAATTCTGGCAAAATCCCTCATGCTATGCCACCTACACAGAATATGTGGCATTCTGATCCACAGGAAACATATCTTTATGCTAATAGTCCTTTTCTATCACGGGCAGTAACTCGAGGCTGATGAGAGTGGATCCGCCAGGTCACGCATATAACTGTGGGTTCTGCTTAAGAGATGTAGCTCGGGAGAAAATCAAGCCTACACAGTAATACACCTCAGAGGAGGTCAGAGAAAAACGGAATAATTTTAAAAATAGCCTCCTGAATGGGCAGTGAGGTAAGGGGTAGGAAGTCTTCTGACCTGATAAACGGGAAGGGGGGGTATTATAATACCATTCAAAAGCCAGGAAGCGGAGGGTGTCATCTCTTCTGCAAGCCATCGGAATGAAAGTGTCTGGTTTGCCATAGTCGGCAAACCATGGCTCTCGTGTGAAGTGGCTGTTGTATGGCACTTGGTTCCCTACCGGTAGATGTGCTTGTGCTCCCACCGGGTAAGCAGGTCGTGAGCGTGGCTGTCCAGTCGTCTTCGTCCTTCTGACCCATTGTGGTGTTGTTATGGTTAAAATCCTGATCAAGCAGTTGTTGTTGTGGACCAGGAGGTGTGGTGGCATGCCCAGGTGCGGTCCTGGCCGTGCCAGCCACCTGTTCCGTCTCCAGCCTCCAGTCTTCTTGACTGTGTCTTGACATCGGGCCCGGGCGTGGAGGAGGAGAAGGTACGGTAGATGCTGTGCAAGTCCATTCCCACTATAAACTAATTCACGTACTGTCGCTGTACCTGTCTCACCTTGCTTTGGACTACTCGGTGAACGTCGTTATTTGCGATGGTCGAAATATCCATGAAGAGCAAGCGCCCCTCACAACCGGCTGTGCTGCAGATACGTTGGGTCAAAATGGGGGTCGCACTGCCTCTTGATTAGCATTGACCGGACTGCGAACACCTACAGTAGATGTGCTATGTCATGAAATGTCAACCAAAATTTCGAAATGCGTTTCCGTTTCGAAAAGATTAATAAAGTAGGCTTGTAAAACCAATCATATTGCAGCATACTTCTATAATAATTCAGTTATCCTATGACGCCACCTTTCGAACGAACTTCTTTTCGGCTGCATCCAACAACCATACTCCGTAAAAATGACTACTTATGTATTATGCAATTTTCTCATTGATTTTCGATGCCCCTAAATGTCCAATTATATTTCATGGAAAACAGGCGTAAAAATATTCATTCGTTTACTTTTTCGGCAGGAAATCACGTCTTCTTCCAATTTCATACTCAAAAGAAGATAATAATTCGGTTTTAAAAAACCTTTCTAATTCCCGAATAATTTCGAACCCGACCTGCTGTTACATTTGCATTCAGGGTTTCAAAACTACAAGCTTTATATTTTCCGTGTACGGAAAACCATGCATTTCTCTACGGTATTAAGCGAAGACCATATGAGGTTCATAAAACAAAGCAGTGGATTTGAGCATTATTGTTAACTTTACAAGCCACATTCGTGAATGCAGATACATGACGTTTCATGAACAGTCATTTAACGGTATTAAAAAACCTCACAATCAGAAACCTTTTAGAACCGAATTATACTCTTCTTTTGAGTATGAAATTGGAAGTAGACGTGATTTTCTACCGAATAAGTAAACGAATGAATATTTTTATGCCTGTTTTCCATGAAATATAATTGAATTTTCAAGGGCATTGAAAATCAATGAGAAAATTGCGTGCTACATAAGTAGTCATTTTTTGCAGAGTATAGATCTTGCATGCAGCCGAAAATAAGTTCTTTCGAAAGCCGACACCCTGAGGTAACTGGATCATTATAGATTTATGCTGCATCATGATTAGTTTTACAACACTACTTAAATCATCTTTTCGAAACGAGAACGCATTTCGAAATTTTGGTTGACATTTCATGAGTTAGCACATCTACTGTATATGCGGTGGCGCGCCCTGAATGTAAGCCTTCGGGCGGCCTCAGTCGCAGAGTTCAACCCAATCGCCGGCTAGTTTACAAACTCGGACAATCGACAGACACATAGGGGAGGGAGAATGAGGCCGCCACTGTGGAGTCCATCTCGCACAGCGTAGCGGCGTCTCCCTCATTATAATAAATCTGATTAGCTGGAACCTACAATCACACGCTAAGAGTTTTGGCCCGGAGGGCTGTCGACAGACCGGAAGACTTAATACCATACAGAATTCAGGATCATGCCGTAATGAGCCCGTCTCATTGTGGCCTCTACGGTACCCCAGCTGATTTGAGATCCGAGCCGCAATCGTGAAAGTCAGATCGCATGTGGGACGCGTAGACGCACTGTCCAGCATTGTCAAGTGCTGCGCCAGGACCTACCTTCGGTCGTATTGACACTGTCTTGCCCAATGGGCAAGGCGGGAAGGGGAGGAGCGAGCGCGGCGTGTTCAGACCGCAAGTCTGCAATACGATATTAATCGTTGCACGCTTCATAAAATGCTTGCCGCTAGCCGGACGAAAAGTAGTGGGCAGTGGGCAACTACTTTTTACTGTCAGACAGAACGGCTTCGTAAATGCAACGCTTGAGTCGCAGAACAAAATTACAGCGCAGAAACGTCATCGAAGACATGTTCGGGTTGAAAGGACAACAGGAAGTCACAATAATCTACCGGCACGGTTGGCGGGGAATCAGAGGAAGTATGCTGCAAAAGTAAAAAAATATAATGTGGGACTTTATATAGCGTCTCAGCGAACAGTCTGGATGCAAGTCATCTTGCTAAGACAGTTTTTGCTCTCAGCGCGAATGAAAAATAAGAAAGCAAACCACGCAGTACCATGTATGCTTTAGAAAGAGCAGAAACCGGCTCGGTCTGCTTAGGAAAATTAGTAAAGGTGGGTTTTCTACTACGGTATGTAACCACTATTTAACACCCCAATGGAAGTTATTTTATTCAAAAAATTCTGAACGCAACAAGCGACTGTAGCCAGCGCGGCTTACTTGTCTAAAAATCTCGGAGCGAGTGCATGTGGGATGCGAATTTGTGGCGGTCAAGGATGTGAGATCAACTTAAACCACGCAAAATAAGTTCGTTTCGTCTAATGACAGAAGTCAGGGAGCTGTGAGGACTAGTTTATTCTGCACACAGGACAGGTTTGCCGTAAGTTGGCTGTTTGCTTGCAACAGGGAAAAGCGTCCGTTCACGGAGAGCGTCAGTAGCGGTGTGTGTCTTGTTTACGCGGGAGTGGGTGTCTGGGTCAGCAGGAGGGGTGACTGGCTGAGTGGTGGTCGTGTGATTGGACAAATTAGGGGAGGAATGGGGGGCGCATACTCACAAGGCATCACGGAAATCAAGCCAGAGAGTTCGACGCGCGTTAGGTGATACTAGTTTGTGAGGGCAACCGGGAGTCACTGCAGCTGGACAGGAGGGGCCCCAGTTCTAGCCGGTGTGGGTGGTCGTGTGTCAGCGGCCTGTCAGTGCTTGTCGCGGCCATCGACTGACAAAACGGAGCCGGAGGAAAGGGGGGCTGGAGCGGCTGCTACAAATTCAACTGATACCAACTGCCATACCATACTCCTAAGTCCGAGTCCAGAGAAATCGATAAAGTGGACTAGACAACTGCTGAGCTGGAGCTCAAGCGGCTGATAGCGAACGCCAGCAGAAATGTTATTGGCGTTGATCGACCAATCAGCGGATTGCCATGACAGACGGTGAGTGTGTGCAACTGTCGATGCCTGTGACCAGGAAAGCCGGTGTAGTCCTGTGGCGTTGTTGCGCCAAAACAGAGGCGACCCCAATTCAATGGAAGTGTCCCGCCGCGTGGGTTCACTAAGAACAAATTGTTAATTCTCACTTTCGCCTAAATGAACCACGACGATTAGATGCTGAAACAACCAAGCTAAATTCCGGCAAAGCGGATTGAGGGCATGACATCGAAAAAATGTGATTGCTAATGCCTATCATGTCGACAGAATTTCAGTGCAATTTAAAGTCATCATAGTGTCCCAACCATAAACTCACTCGATTGGGTGTCACAGGACCGTTTCCTGCTTCACTTTTTTTTAAAAAAAGAAATTTAGAAGGATGCACTAAAGGAAGGCATAGAGGCCTGGTCGAGAATAAGGTTCTAAAGGGCTTCCAGAAGCAGAAGCCCTATAAGCAGGACTACATGATTTTCAGCGAAAGCGTGGTAAGCAAATGCTATATCCCCAAATAGAGCTCGGAAAGATCGTTATAAGCATATTCATAGAGTTTGCTCTGTCAAGAAGTTACCTGCAGCATTTTGAACTTCTGGGCTGTTTATTATACGTTTTAGGAAGATGCAATTCGATAAAATAGCGGAAGCGGAAACAGCCTCTCTCAGGGCGTACGCCAGGCCGACATCATCCATGTAAGTGACTACAATCAGCTTTCCTTCAATACTTGCGGCAAAAGATATATAGGCCAGAATACGTTCAGCAACAGTTCGGCCATGATAAAAGCAATAATGACTTATAATAACGCAGGATAATGATGTATTTTTTAAGACAGATTACTAGACCATGCTCTTTTACTAATCTGGAGTATCGAATATTGGTTGGATACATTTAATAGTGTACTTAGACGGCTTACAATGACGCACCACTTAAATAACGAGATGTTTGCGCATTCCTGATAGCCCTCCTGAACCCGAGACAATGCGTCAAAAACCTCACCTGATTTAGGCCTACGTAGCAGATAATTTGCGCCCCATGCGAACGGCAGCGGCTTGTAAACAAGTCCTCGAAAAAAACCGATTTTTGCGCCATCCCTGTTGTCTTTCGCAGGCATAGCGTTCCAACCACAAATGGTTGGGTGCCGGCTAAAACCTTAATCTGATAGTTTCTCGGTGAACTGTCGATGTAGGAAGCAGTCAACTACCTTAAAAAATCAGTATAGGCAGTATCAACCGCATATCCAGTAGGCAAAGTCTTCATGTACATTTCATTTCGCTGTTAAGGTACTTCTGATGCAGGATCAGTTCTGTTGAAAACCGTGTTGGGATTCACTAAACAAATTAAGGCATAGTTCTCGTGAAAATCCCCTCAGTTATCTTCCATCAGGTGCACCATCGGCTAGTTGGTCATCGGTAGCCCTGAATCTACTTTGTGAGTCAGTACGACGCTGACCAATTTCCCCTTGCATGAAAGGTAATGGCAATCAGGTGCGCCGATGTACGATGGTTGAAAAATCGAGATTTCAAAATTCAGAAGTCGTGGAGGACAGATCTGTTGGAGAAAATTAGCTGAGTCGAGAGAGCGTGCACACAGTTTAGCCGTTGTGTTTGTTCTCTCCGGTGCGGGCTATGTAGATATGTGCGCCTGTGCCTTATCCGTCTGTAGCCAATTAACGAGTGGCGTAGCGTGGAATGTCATCCGACTTCGCCCCCCCCCGTTGGTGCCAAGCGACGCGCGACAGGGAGCGCGAGGCGCACCGAAGGACAGTATGAGAAAACCAACAGAAACGAAGAGACGAGTCCCAGGAAGTAGTCTTAAAGAAGGAGACACGATCGATGGGACAAAAGCTTTATTGGCCTGAAGTTTCGGATTCCTGTCGAAACGCAATGCAGTGAACCGGAAGACAATATTGCCAAACTACAAAACCTCTGACGGATCTTCAAAGCCAATGGTTACACGCGCAACTTTGTCAACCGGTGCATACGCAAAAGGGACGAAAGGCCTAACCGCATGGACACCTAATTTTGACGCGCGCTTCCGTATGTCAAGAACGTTTCGGAAGCTGTTGGCCGCATTCTCGCACCACTTGGGGTTGAAGTCCCACACAGACCAGAGGCAACCATCAGGCGTCAGGTAATGAATCCGAAAGACCGGCTGCCACGGCAAGAAACGTCTGGAGTCGTTTATCGGATCTGGGGCAGTTGCGGACAAGGCAACTATGTCGAAGAAACCGCAAGACAGCTCCGAACGCGAATGGCTGAACACGCTGCAGCGGTACAGAGAAATGGCGTCAGCTCTCAAGTTGTGGCTCATTCGACGAGATCCAGTCACACATTCAAATTCGACGAGACCGAAATTCTCGCAAGACGTGACAACCGTGTGAGCCGGGAGCTGCTTGAGTCATGGTTTACTGCCCCCAGTCCTTTAACAAGTGCAATGAATTTCCCCTTCCATACTCGGTGCTGAGACTCCGCCAAGGCGGAGTAATTAGCCACGCGGGGAACGCACAGGTGAACACTTTTCCCAACTCCAGGGTCGGTGCGTCAGACGGTCGAGCAATCATCACATCAACATCCAACGCACGTGATGAAATTGCAGAAATTAACGACGCGAATGTCGACCATCAAACAATTAGCACACCAAGTGCGACGATCCCGGATGGACGGGGGAGCCGTGAATATTCATAGATATGCGGTAGCATGGCGACTGCATCCTATAAATACTGCAGCCAGTTGTGCACGAACCACCCGTTTCTGTTCTTTTGTCTCTGATGATGGATTCGAGTAGGAATCCGAAACGTCAGGCTGATAAAGCTCTTGTCCCGGCGATCGTGTCTCCTGCTTCAAGTATGAGAAAGCGTCCACGCCGGGGACCGCAGGGACGGACTGTCACAGGTGCCGCTGAACTGGGATGAAGAGAGATTACGCTGCCTCTCTGGCTAGCTCTTCCAAAGATGGAGGTGAGGAAGTATAATATGCTGCAAGCTCAGGCCAAGTGTCTTTATTTGAGAAAGGGGAACAGGCACCAGACCACTGTAAGTGTACACGCGCGCGTTGGATTTGATTGGTCAGCGAGGATGATCGTGATCTACCGGGAGAAACGGTATTCAGCCCTGATGTGAGCGCTGCCGTGTTAGAGCCAGTGGACTTTGAAACAATGACCGGCGAGGTTTGGTTCCCGCAGCCCCACTTGATTAATACCATATGGTTAGCTTCCGAAAGCGATTACGCTGACTTTTTATACACGAGGTGTTTGCGCCCTTCTTACTATTTTAGGTTAGTTGTGGTTATGTAGCCGCACCCGAAGTAAACAAACCCCAGTCACCTCTAATACGGCACTGGTGGTAATAGGGGATTTTTGCAGGTGGGACCGGAGAACTCACAGGCGACGGGGCCAAGTAGTTGTCTGCAAAAGAAAAGCTACTGGGAATGCGCGGTTGTACTTGAGTGGTTGAGAAAGAGTTTCCCTTACCCCTAACCCTGTCCGAAAGCCGTGACTCCTAGCCCTAACTCTTAACCGCAGTCCTAAACCCTAATCCTGAAACATTCAACGCGAAGGTTAGAAGGAGACGACAGGCAAAAAGTCAAGGAGGACCACCGGCATTGGGCCGAAAAAGGTAAACACTTCAACAAAGAAACAAGGTCGCCAACAGAACACACACCGGAACCCACAGCAACACCATGCCAACGTTATCACACCAACTCCAAATAATTAAGTAGGTCAACAGCATTATGTCCATCAGGTGTGGCTAAATAACCACGTCTTACCCTATTTTAATCCAGCAACTGTCTGTGCCCCAGGGGGTTCTCGAACGCCATCCTCGGTTACATCGGGTATCGGTTCACACGCGCTTCCCTGTGCGTGCTTCGAACCCTGGTTGCGCCCTCTTTTTTATTTCAATCCATCGAGGGGCTCAGCGGGCTTGCTAATGGCATTTTTCTGACGGAACGAAACACCGTCGGTTCCACTATAGTGACCATGCACTGCGAATTAACACGTAGTTCCCTCCGTGGCCTTCCGGCTGTGACCGCACCCTTCCTATCCCCTTAATCCAGTGAGTGGCTGTGTCGCTGGAGAGTGCGTACATGCCACCTTCGGTTACACCAAGCATTAGTTCACATGCGTTTCCTTGGACTTGCTTCGAGCTCTGTTTGTGCTTTTTTCTCCCTCCTAATCCAGCGAGTGACCAAGTTAGGTTTGTTAACTAAAATTGTTCTAATAAGTTCTTATAAGCTCATCATATGATATTAATCAAGTGGGGCTGCAGACCAAACCTCGCCCAAGGATCTGATGCGCTGTGATGATGCTTACAGCATTTAAAGTCAGTAGTCTCGATTGCCGGCATGATTCTTCAGTTGACTGTGAGAAGCTGAGGCCATTCATGCGACCAGAATGCGGTGCTTTTTGGCTCCGCAGGAGCGAGAGTATCGATTGATGATTAGATCTAGTGCGTTGCCAGGTCGTTTTGGGTGGTCTTGCGGCCGTGCCGTCTGTCGTGATCTTGCCAATCGCTCAGATTAAGCCGAAAACACGAAATAAAAGATTATGCAACCGGTTGATTCCCTCGAAGTGTCACGCCGCCCTGTCAAGCAATGCTTTTGATTGATTACAGTGGGGCATCTTATAGAGGCTAAGCATCGTTTCAAACGAAAAGAAACTGTAAAGTGTTGTTGAGGTTTTGCTATGACCCCGAAGAAAGGTAGGACAGGAAGAGAGCCGGTTCGGAGGGCAAGCACTTTACTGGTAACTTGCGCACACGAGGGGTTACAACTCGTAAGAAAGATGCGTTATTTATATTGGCTCCTGTGCGTTTTGGAACATTCCGTCCAATGGCATGTCAGCCGCTGGGGGGCGTTCTAGAATGTTCCTGTCCCGGACGTGCTGGTCGCTGATTGGCCACCACGTGCGCGATAGCCCCCCCCGCGGAAACGTCTGGAATGTTCGACCAGCCATTGATTGGGCCGCACACGAGAGCAAAGCCACCACACGTGCTCGGCGCTGCAGTGCACGCCGGTCGGCCGTCTCATGCCGCCGGCTTGGTCCCCTGTTCAGCGCCTTAGGTCGTGGCTCCACGCCGCTTGCACTCTCCATAGCAGGTTTGCACTTTAGAACGTGCAACAGAGTGAAGACGCAGTGTGCCTATAATGCATGTCTTTTCTCCTAAGGCAATTTGAGCAGCTGATAATTCATAATATGGTACACGAAAATTTTAACCACGTTCAGTTCTTTAGCTTGGTTACTTATCGGGTCCGACTGTAGTAGGCAAGCTGGCATGTTCACTATTCGTAAACGTTCATGTATTCCGCACCCCCAGCTCCACAAAGCCCCCCGCGCGCAGACGGCTGTCAAACATCTCACACATATCAAATCTGTTAGAGGAGGATGAAGACACAGTACCAGGCGACTTCAGAGACATGCAAGTGAGTTTTAGTAGTAACATCAATCCCCATAAAATGATGTGCGAGGGTGGCGTGAATTCTTCGACGCAAACCTCAGATTCGGTTTGAAATTTTACACGAATATTTGATCTGAATGGCGGTGTGGTATTCGCGTATTGCCCAAAGAGGTAGTCGGAACTACATAAATACTGAGTAATTTAACGTACCCACGGCACAAAAGCGTCGAAACACATGACCGGGCTTCTAGTCGCTGCCCGTGCCGGGAGTAGGTCTGTCACTACCGCTGCCGTTTACTACTACTACTACTACTACTACTACTACTACTACTACTACTACTACTACTACTACTACTACTACTACTACTACTACTACTACTACTACTACTACTACTTCTACTACTACTATTAATACTACTACTGCTGCTACTACTACTACTACGACTACTACTACTACTACTACTACTACTACTACTACTACTTCTACTACTACTATTAATACTACTACTACTGCTGCTACTACTACTACTAGGTTTTTTTCCTGAGTTCAAAGGGGACTGACAGTGCCCAAGGGGCGCTACAATAAACCTATTCTATTCTATTCTATTCTACTACGACTACTACTACTACTACTACTACTACTACTACTACTACTACTACTACTACTCCCACTGCTACTGTGTCTCGTGCTGGGAGCCGCAAATTCTGCTGCCATAACTACTCTTATTACTACCATTTTTGCTAGTACTACGACTGCTGCTACCACTACTACTGCCATTACAACCACCGCCACTACAGCTGATGAAAATAATGATAAGCGAGCGGGTATAAAAGAGTTCCCCGGCTTGCTGCCCTTTGTTTCAAAGGCGTCTGGAAAATGAAAACGCTTATTAAGGACATAACTATATCCTTTCCCAAAATGTCGACTTTGAAGAAGAAGTGGTTTACAGACGAGGGTGTACAAGAAAAGGCATTTTGCACATGTTCTACATTAAATATATTTGAATTTTAGAAGGCAGTAAAAATCATTGGAATTAATCCAATGATTCTGATGACAGAAATGAAAAAAAATTGTGTACCGAACAAATAAGTCGAAGTAGATTTTTTCTACCGTCATTAACTTCTGCTCCTGGCCTGGCAAGCACATCGACCTAAAGTTGGCAGTCGCAGATCGATACTACTTACCGGAAGACGCGATACTAATAGAGTTGCTCTTAGCGACTTTATCTAGACGAGTTTGAAAAATGTTTAGATCAACAGCATTCTGAGTGTCAGCGGAGAGATAGACGTGCAGTCCGGTTAAATCTGGAGAAGGCTGCATTATGCTTGGGCAGACCTCCAATCAGAGTTATTGAATTTTAGGCCAAGCTGCTGGGAAACTTGCAAACGCACGATGACGCTATAGCGGCGGAACGGCAGAAGGTGCAGGATATTCTTAGTCAGCGCAGATCAGCTGCCAAAACGGCAAGGACGGCCCACGCCTTGAGTACAGCAAACCAACTCCTCACAAGACAGTCCGAAGTTGAGCAGGGGTGAGTCCGGTCATCGACCGCCCAATTCCAATTTCGTAAAACGTCATCCTACTCACTACTATTCAGTAAACGTTTTTTTGGAAAATTATAGACTGGAACAAGCGAAGACTGACCTGGAGGAAAAGCTAAAGACACGCATTCTCCTGCAGAAGCACAGCGGTGGCAGTAAAAGCGATGCAAAGACCTCCAACTACGAACACGTAAAGACACTTGATACCGTGGCGTAAGAAATAACTTTTTTGTTACTAACGCACTGCGTCCCAATTCAGAGAACTCGCTCAGTTCGAGGAAGATGTCGGTTGCCCAACGCTGGAGGAGGCCTAGCGGGAAAGCGAAAAGAACGACACAGATCTTTGAGGAGCCATGCAGCATCTCATGCGTGCGGCAGATAATTCTCATCTTCTACCGACGTGATGCACTTTATTTTTGATCATTGTACTTACTCAAGATAACGCGCGCTCGCGTCTCGAAATCTTTCAAGTTATTCCTTGTGTGAGAAGCGGGATATTCGACTTGTCTCTATTACTTCTTCCAAGAATTCGGCTTCTTTTACAGTTATTTTGCGAGAATTTGTCCTCACTGTGGGCTAACAGTCGGACTCCAGTTCGCACGGTAGTCAAGGACAGTTTGTAGCCAGTATAGGAGTACTCTTATGATAGCAGTTATTCCAGAAACACTTTTACACTTGCATGCAACGAGTGCAGGTATGGCGAGGGGAACAGCGACTCAGCACTGATAAAGTAACTGCCTCGCGACGACGTTGAGGGATGGAAGTTACATATCTGTCCGAGATGTAGAAGCAAATCGAGCCCACACTGGCGTCCACCATAATTTGGCTACGATCGAACGCATTCATGACGAGAATCATGCGGTATGCTAGCCTAGTCGGAGCAGAGACGGTAAAATTCGACCATATGGTCGAGTTCTTCGTTTTTTTTTTCGTTGGGCTGCATGATGAAAGACACCACCGGTGGTTCGGTCGTCGTAAACGACCAGTGTCACCAGGGCCTAGGTCAACTATAGCGGCCGGAAGGAGTCAGATTTTTTTAGGAGAGGTCAGCGAACCATCGACCGCACTCCCACTTCCATCATGTTCTAATGACACGACGACTGAATAGCGGTGTGCACATAGCAGCTAACGCGACGTAAAGCTACGGGCTGCATGGGTGCTATACCTGCTGGTCCAGCAGTCCAAACGGATACGACTTAATCCGTTTGACTATAGCCTCCCTACACATGAAGCTCATATGGTGCACACCTGAAGTCACAATTAAAGTAGGTAGGAACTCAGCAAAAAGTGAGTAATAAACCGTATATTACAGGTGAATATATATATATATATATATGCCCCAGTTGGAGCGGTGCTACTCTGAGTGGTTGGGGTCACACCGATAACTCTGACAAGTGTGTAAAAAAATATACTCAAATATGGGTATAAAGTGAGAAGGAGTCTTAAAAGTAATGAAAAATGGAGTGGGTTGATACAGACGTCGGGGGTTGCAGGGAATGTCAACCAGCGAGGGACCTCTAGATCCCACCGCCCCCGGAGTCAGGCTGAGAGGAGAGGGATGTTGATAGAGTAGACTGGTCAAGTCGGAGGGAAGAGCCCTTGGCCTTGCCTCCCAAGGGGACGACTTTGACGCGAGGATATCCAGACCACTCGGGGGAGGAGGAGCTTCGCCGGCGTGGGGCGCGCGCGGCCTTCTGAACTCCGGCGACGGCAGGGAGGGCGAACTTTAGGGTGCTGAGGCGTGCGGCGCCGACGAGCTGATCACAGAGACGAAAGGCACCGCTCAAGACCTGCAGACCCCTGTTCAAAATGGTGTTGACTGTGGAAACAAACAAAGTGGCCACGGTGCTCCTGGCGGTTGAACCCCTCTCACGAATCCATGTCAACCACTGGCTTTAGCGGAAAGACTGTGTTAAGGCAACAGCTGGTGGAGACAGGAATCTCAAATCATTGGTCTGTCTTGTCAGGCAGAGGTCCACCACCTCAGGCCCGGAGATGTATTAACTAGCCAAATGAACCAGGATTACCCACCTACGTTATTTACGGAGCAGTTCATGGACAAACAAAGGATAACGGCAGGTTGTGAAGGAAGAGAAAGCTACATCTGCAGTCGGTGGGCAAAATTCAGATACAACAGTGACGGTGCATATGCGCGAGGGATTTGGGGTGGGCAGAAATACCAATTTGCTTTTTTGTCTTACGTCAGTTACTTTGGCATGAAAGTATTTATTACTGGCAAGTTAGCTTTGTTTACTTCATACTTCTTGCTACGTTATAAACCCACTACAAGTCTTCTGATACGATGTGCCCGGGAAGTCCACAAGCCCCTAACATAAACACCCATACAAACTGCTAGAACAGATTTACAGCAGCCCACTAATAGGGACAATGCCAAGAAGATAGGAGGCAGACTCGGACACCATTGATGACGAGACTGAACGGCCCGTTTGGACGTACCACACACGACCCCGGTTCCAAGACTTTTGCTGTACAGTAGGTGGGCCAACGCATGAAATGTCCACCGAAATTCCTAAATGCGTTTCCGTTTCGAAAAGATTAATTAGGAAGGGTTGTAAAACCAATCATCACGAAGCATAATTCTATAATATTTCAGTTACCTCAGGATGCCGGCTTTCAAACGAACTTGCTTCATTGATTTTCGACGCCCTTAAAGATTCAATCATATTTCATGGAAAAATGAATAAAAATATTCATTCTTTTGCTCATTCGGTAGAAAATTATGTCTTCTTTCTATTTTACACTCAAAGAAATGGTATAAATCTGTTTTAAAAAGTATCTAATTGTGAGAGTTTTTAATAAAACGAAAGTCCCCTTCATAAAACGCCATGTCTCTGAATTTAACAATGTGGCTTGTAAAGTTAACAATGTGGCTCAAATCCACCGCTTAATTTTATGAACCCTATATCGTTCCCCTTTATTAACGTAGAGAAATGTGTGGTTTTCCGTACGCGGAAAATATACGGCTTGTAGTTTGGGAACCCTGAATGCAAAGTATAACGGCAGGTTGGGTTCACAATCATTCGGGAATTGGAAAAGTTTTATAAAACCAAATTATACCCTTCCTTCTAGTCTAAAATTAAAAGAAGACGTAATTTTCTACTGAATGTGCGAAAGAAGGAATATTTTTGGGCATGTCTTCCGTGAAATATAATTAGATGTTTCAGGGCATCGAAACTCAATGAAAAATGCATGCTACTTAAGTAGCCACTTTTTACGGAGTATGGCATTTGAATGCAGTCAAAAAGAAGTTCTTTTGAAAGCCGGCGTCCTGGCGTAACTGAATTTTTATAGAATTATGCTGCACGATGATTGGTTTTACAACCCTACTTAATCAATCTTTTCGGAACGAAAACGTATTTCGGAACTTATGTTGAGATTTCATGTGCAAGCCCACTTACTGTACCTTCATAGGGGAGACTCGGAGCTAACATGAATGCGTACGCCATAAAGGCCATTGCAGTCTGATTCCGGGTTTTTCAGTAACTCCAAAATACTCCAGTGAGGACCGTTTCACTCCATCAGTTGGTAACCTGTCAAGCCACGACTTTTGGAGCGCCAGATTTATGACACTGAGGAATGCGCTGATGTGTCGTGCGGATGAACTCCTTAGCTTTGACCTCATTCTTAATGCCATCCCCCATATGCCAGTCTACTGTGAGCGCAGTGGCTGACAGAGTTAGACAGTCCACCTAGTATGCCACACAAGCCTGATTAATAGTTCATCCACCAGAGTACAGCAAGGACAGATCTCCTACTTACATCAGACGCGCATGTCCTGGCGTGCTGTTGCGCCCGTCATAGGAGATGAAAACAGTGTTACGGAGCGTGGCGCGTGTACTGGAGGGGTTC